AATATATCTTATATATACTTTTTTCTTAAATTTAAAAATTATCTATCTAGAATAATTAACGTTCTTTATAAAGAAGTTTATTCAAAAGTAAGGTCCAAGAGCTGAGGAAATACAACCATTAGGAAAAGGAGTTTCATTGAAATAAAGCTAAAGATTCCTTGTGGGCATATTTTGTATTTCATTGCTTTTTGGGAGAGGATTTTTTTTCCCCTTATAAGGTAGATCCCCCCTCCCCATTTTACCACTACATGTTATTTCTTTAAAAAAAAGATTTGTAGAGACAACATTTTAATTTGATTTTAGAACAGGGGAACATATTTTCCAGTTCTATTAGCTTGACCTATCAGTTGTTGTTGTTGTTATGTGCCATCGAGTAGGACCCAATTCATAGCGACCCCTCCTTGGGTTTCCGAGGCAGTATCACTACGGAAGTAGATTGCCCATCTTCCTTCCGAGGAGTGGCTGGTGGGTTTGAACCACCAGCCTTCTGGTTAGCAGTCAGATGCCTTAGGCACTAAGCTACCAGAGCTCCTATCAGAGTAATTGATTTTCTGATGTGGCTGTAGCAAATTCCAGTTTGAGAAGATGACGACTGAGTTCTAACTGCACTCGCAATTTAGCCTGTCAATTTAGGCAGCATCTATTTAATAGGGGTATTTTCCTTTTGGTGAAATACATATATAATATGCTTGTTATGTGATAGCTGTATAACACATTTTAAACCTATTTACCTGCTGTCAAAATGTTTTGGTGTGTTTTGCGTGAGTCCAAATCTGGGAAAACCAAAACCAAACTCATTGCCATTAAGTTGGATCTTACTCATAGTGACCCCTCCTTGGGTTTCCAAGGCAGTACTATGGAAGTAAATTGCTCAACCTTCCTTCCAAGGAATGGCTGGTGGGCTTGAACCACCAGCCTTCTGGTTAGCAGTCAAATGCCTTAGGCACTATGCCACCAGAGCTCCTAAAGCCAGGAAGTCATCATTTATAATAAACTCTCTCTCAAAATTCACACCAAAAGTACATTTAAAATAGTTTACAATGCATTCAAATATAGTCACAAACAAGAAAATACAGACTGCTTCAAAACTGGCAAACTGATTTAGAAATTAATATACTATTCTTCCCACAAACTAAAGGAATTTAAAAAGAACATGATACCAGCTAGCAATTCAAATAGGTTTTCAAGTTTATTAAAATAGGATTCAATCTATAATGCTATTATCATATATTCTTTAAAGGAATCCTATTAGCATTTTATTAATTGAATTTTTTTTTATTCTGAGTTCATTATATAGCTTAGAGAGTCCCCCAAATATTATAAATTATTATAAGTGTTTTTTCATAAAACTCTAGTCTTTGGTTTAAATCCATTGCAGTCTAACTGAAACAAAATAAAACAAAAATCTGTAAAGCTCTCAAAAAATCAAATTTCTTCTATCATTAATATGGAGTAGGACTTGAAGAAATCATAAACTTTTTTAAAAAGTTCTCTTTTATCAGCCTTTTCTTGGAATTTTAAATTCACTGATAGTAAATTACACAGGGAGAATGACCAATTGGTTTTATGGAAATCTGGCAATTAACATGATTAATTAAAGTGGAATTTCTGTGTGTGTGAGAGAGAGAAGATGGGGCAGGGAGCATTGTGGTTGTCATTGAAAAAAAATCCAACTAGTCAAAGAAACTATATAACTCAACTTGTCATTAATTAATGGTCACCAGAAAAGAAGTCAGAGCTCTGGTCTTTTGTAGCTCTTTCAGCAACTAACAAGGCGGTAGAAAAAGAGTTATTTATGATTGAGAAGTTTGATTGTAAAGGGCTTCAAAACTGCAAACAGTAAGAAAAGCTTTGCTACCACCTTGGAAAAGGAAGCTATGTCTCAGAACAACATATTTAAAGAAAAACGAAATTAAGCTTATTTTAGGAGAAAACTCAAACGATTCAAGTAGGAACATCCAGGACTGGAAATACAGATCATGGTGGATTAGTGGATGGGTCTGGAAGCTTTTCCTAGAAGCCAAATACATTCAAAGTGGTTCTGCAATCCCTTTGGGCTTGGAAGACAGGTTCTGTTTCATTGATAAACTCTTTTCCATTGAAGCATATGCTTCAATATAGTATTGGCCATTGTTCCATTTATAAGTTTCCAAATCTTTCATTTAACAAAGAGCGAAAATATTAGGCCATTCTACCCACTTAGGGCTGTTACAACTAACTGGTTTACTTCAGCTGAATACCTTCCTACCCGAGTGACTAAAATAAGACAGGAAAAAAGGCACAAGGAAGCTTCTACCATCCCAACTGACTGGATAAAAATAAATTTTTAGTTTTAAGTTCTCTATTTTTTGTCAAGAGTATTTCCCAAGCTCTTATGACACTTCCCATTTACTTTGGTGTATTTCTTCCTCACTGATTTCAAAGGAATTTCTATTATGAGCACTTGCTAAGTACTTGGAATCAGTCTAGGAAGTGGTGAAATATATTCTGAAATTAATCTAGCTTTTGGCTGATTCATGTCATAAAGACAGCCCCCCAAAAAGGCTGAGTAAGACATTTAAACAAACAAATAAAAGCACAACAAAATAGAATCTAGGTGATTTTTTTTTTCATTAAGAAGAAACCAGAAATAATTTTACTTTTTTGGAAAATTAAGTTATCAATTGAAGTACCAATTGAATAAACCAATAAGAAAAGGTATGGCAGGATAGAATTATTTACATCAACTTGATAATTCACATTTTATGTTTAGACTTTTAAAGTGCTTTCAAAATGGAAGAAATTCTGGATATAGGCAATGCTTTCCTTCAGAGCAGCCAGCAGATATCCCTTGCTGAGTGTAAATGACCAGATACAGAAATAAACTATCATAGTAAGAAAAAGTGACAAACAATAAAACATCTTTACCACTTTCATGAGATTGAGTTGTAACCCAACCCATTGACTTCATAACAGCCTTTTTCCAAGTAGAATAACGAATTTCACTTTCTGGAATTAGAAGAAAAAACATACAGATGAAAGACAGTTTGCTAAGATGTCCTAAGCACCACACTTATGTTCACTCAGCATTCTTGGCAAATTCTTGCACATACTAAACTGAAGCGGGGCTTTCCCAATCCAGATTTGAGAGAGTACATTTACTGGTGACTGCCTGTAACTGGGAGAGAAGCTTGCTGGGAAAGTGGAGTGAAACCTGACAGGGGAGGTGCAGCATGGGTCTGCAGGGTGACTGGAGACATGAGACACATGCTAGAAAAAGTAATAACCTGTTATGAAGACTGGAGCCATTCACAAACAAGAGGTGATGAATTAGAAGGGGGAATCTGTGTGATTTGTTTTCCCTTTGCACATGTATGTGGAGACCCTTAGCATGAGGAGAGGGATATGTTGTTGTAATGTGCAAAGACTAAAGAATTGTGTTTGGTCCATTCAAAGGATTTAACAAATGTTGATTCCTCACAAGATGCACAAGTTGCATTTTATGAGATTCCCCCTGAAGGGTTAATAAAATCAAACCTCACAATAATTTACATTCAGCCAAAATGGAATGCTCCCCCCACCAAAAAAAAAAAAAAAACCACCCCACAAAATTCCAGACTATCAGACTTCTGGAAATAGTTAATGACTACTATCTAACTCCTATAAAAAGTTATCTTATAGGGACACCATGACCGAAAGGAAGGAACGGCTGATCATGGGACTTGGCTGACTAAACCCTATGACGTCTTAAACACCAGGACAAAGAAATGAGGAGTTCAGAGAGAAGGATAAAAATGCCCTAACTCAGACAATTGCTGGTTGGTCTCTCTAGAGTGGAGTCAGCCATTTGCTTTAATGCTTGCATCTGTTAATTCTCCTTTTCTATTTCTCTGGCCTGGTTCTCTCAGCATCAGCAACCCAACCTTATACCCCCCACTCCCAAACTTTAAAGCAGGCTGTACTCCTATTAACCATACCATGTGTGGACTTCCTTCTCTCAAACCTCCCAGCCTTTCCACAAACCCTGCTAACCCACAAGAGGGCTCAAGTGTCATTCCCTAAAGAAAGCTTTCACCACTTCTGGCTCTTTCTCCATCTTCCCAGAGCACTTAACACATACCTCAGTCAACTGCTACCACAATGAATTTATGGCTTTGTCTACCTCTCCCAATATAATTGAGACTCTTGAAGACCAAAGACTTGGTCTTATTCATCTCTGTATTCTAATGTCAAGTGTCTCTGGCTTGTAATCGGTTCTAAAAAGGTTTCCTTTTTCAGAACGAGAAAAAGTTTTTGAACTTCCTATTTTATTCAATGTTACCAAAGTTAAAAATTACTTATGAGGTACATGGTACACTGTCTGCTAATAAGATCAGTAGTATTGCAATTCATTTCCTTGTATATGGAAAAGAATGAATAAAATTAAGAAACACTGGCATACTCTTCCAGAAAATTAAATAAAAATGCATTTGGAAGCTTATTTCCCAGTGGCTCAAAATCTACTTTGATGTTCTTTTATGCACAGGTCTCTAGAAAGCTATAAAACCAAATTTAATATATACAAACTTATTTTCTACTCATATATATTTCAATTTAAGTCATGCATCACTATATTTTAATAAAGGTAGCAATCAGAGCTTGTGGGTTACTTAGCTTTGCTGGGACAGTGAATCAGATATTTAATTCCCATAGATTTAAATTGTTGCTGCCATTGTAGGGCTAGCCATGCTGGGCTTCAAAGTTACTAAAGTGTCCCTTTGTCCAGCTAATCATGTCCGAAAGGAGACACAGATCATTGGCACTGAAGATGATAGGTCTAGACATTAAGGGTGAGTAGGTGGCTGATAGATCTATTTTTTTCCTTTTAGAAAATGGAGAAAAAAAATGAAGTTGTCAAGGACTTCATTTCACTTGGATCCACAATCAATGGAAATGGAAGCAGCAGGCAAGAAATCAAACGATGCCTTGTATTTGGCAAATCTGCTGCAAAAGACCTTCTTAGATGTTAAAAACGATGCCACTTTGAGGACCAGGGTGTTTTTCACCAAAGCCATGGTATTTTCAATTGTGTCACATGCATTAGAAGGCTGGACAATGAATAAGGAAAACTGAAGAAGAATTGATGCCTTTGAATTGTGGTGCTGGTGAAGAACACGGAAAATAGCATGGACTGCTCGAAGGATGAACAAATCTGTCCTGAAAGAAGTGCAGCTGGAATGCTCCTGGGAAGTGAGAATGGCCACACTTCATCCCACGTTCTTTGGTCATGTTGTCAGAAGGAACCAGTCCCTGGAGAAGGTTATCATGCTTGGCAAAGTAGAGGGTCAGCAAAAAAGGGGAAGACCCTCAACAAGATTGAAAGACACAGTGGCTGCAACGATGGGCTCAAACAGCGATGATTCTGAGGATGGTGCAGGCCTGGGCAGTGTTTCATTCTGTTGCACATGGGGTCATTTTGAGTTGGAACCAACTAGATGTACCTAACAACAACCAGCTATAACTGACAGTGTGGCAGAGCTAGCCTTCTACAGGAGGGGTTATAAATAGTACAATGGTAGCAAAGTGACTATAGAAGTTTTTCTTATAAAAAAAAGTTTTTCTCATTTTCACTCATTCAGTATATGGCAATATGCTTATACAGATCTGTACAAAAATAGGAGACAAATCTGAAATAGTAATATTTGCTATTTTACTTTGTTCCTTAATTTATTAATGAATAGCAAGGCAAACTCCTGTGCATTAAATATGATCATTTTCACAGTATAGTCATGCATCACTTAAAGTCCACGATACATTCTGTGAAATAGAACGTTATAGGCTTTGGATATTGTATGAATACCATATTATAGTCTAGTCTTGCTTTTTATTATTTATTTAATTTTTAATTTTTAATTGAAATTTAGGTGAAAGCTTACAGAGTAAATTGGTTTCATTCAACAATTGATACATATTTTGTCCTGTGACACTGACTGCAAACCTCACAAGTAACAGCAATCTTCCCATTTCCTCCTTGTGTTTATCATTTCCCTTTGCCTTTCTTTCCTCTCTTCCTACCTTCTCAGCTTTATCCATGGAGAAATGCTACCCTTTTGATCTCATATGAGGAGGGTGTAACTTCATGGTGTTAAAGTTCACCCTGCAGGCCTGTCTATTGTTTAGCTGACAGTTGGGTCACAGGGGTTAAGTTCCGTTCCTAGCTTGACGGGTTTCTGAGGACCATAATGTCTTAGGGGTTCCACCAGTCTTGATCAGACCAGGAAACCTGACCTTTTTTTTTTTTTTTTTGATTTTGAGTTTTGTTCCACATCTCTCTCCCACGCTATCTGGGACAGCCTATTGTGATCCCTTTCAGAGCAGTCAGCAGTGGTAGCTGGGCACCATCTAGTTCTTCTGATCTCATGTTGGAGGAGGCTGGGGTTCATTCACATGGTCCACTAGTCCTCTGGAATAAGTGTTTCCCTGTGTCTTTGATTTTCTTCTCTCTTCCTTGCTCTAGATGAGTAGAGACCAAAAGTTTCATCTGAGATGGCTGCTCACAAGCTTTTAAGACCCCAGTCACTTCTCACCAAAGTACGATATAGAACAATGTCTTTGTGTACTGTGTTGTGCCAATTGACCTGAGTGTACCCTGAGATTATGGTCCTGAGCCTCCAGGCCAGTTTTTTCTTTAAGCATCTCAAGCAAGCTTTGTGACTTAGCAGTGATCATCAACATCCTGAGAGGGATTCCCCTTGCGTTTGGTTCTTCTCATTCCACATCGTTAGCAATTTCTCTGCATGTGATGTAAGTCCCTCTCATGTTTTCGTTAGCCTTGTAGCTTTCAGTGGAGCCAATTCTTTAACAGCTTAGAGAGTTTTTTCCTTGTTTTTGAGGATTGTTGTGATTGTCGAGCATGATGTGCCTAAATCGAGAGCAATGGCATTCGATGAGTCCACCTTCCCATTAATAACCTTTTGTTTCACTTCCAAATCAGTACTTCTCCTTTGCCTCTTGCTGCTATCACTAGCACTGGTTTTGCTGTGTTTGGGAGCCGTGATGGACTTCACAGTAATATTTTTGAAAGAAAATTAAACAGAGAGAGAACACTACTAACACTCAACAGATGCACAATACACAAGATTGGATGCTGCTGCCTACAAGTCAAAGCATACACTATTACATGTTAAACTTCTTAGATAGAAAGTACAGTATATACATAAGCCAGTGGTATAGGCATTTATTATAACTATCAAGGCATATATATTGTAGGTTATGTATGTACTGTAAAGGAGCCCTGGTAGTACAGTGGTGAAGTTTCACTGCTAACTGAAAGGTCAATGGTTCAAACTCACCAGCTGCCTTGCAGGAGAAAAATGTGGCAGTACCCACGCTTCCATAAAGATTTACAGCCTTGGAAGCCCTGGGACAGTTCTACTCTGTCCTATAGGATCATTATAAGTTGGAATTGACAGCAGTGGCTTTGGGTTTTATTTTTTTATATGTATGGTACTATTACACACCTGGCAGTGCAACTGCTTTGTATGCAACAGACAGAAGATCCATGTGTTTCACACAGGAAGCTGTTGCCTTCCCTACGTCCTGTTCTCCAATTGGGATTTCTCAACTATATTATAACATTATGGGACCATGGACGTATATAAGGAGTCAGACGTTGCATGAATGGATGTCATGCAGCATATGACTATATATCATGAGAAATGTCATTCTTAATGTACCCTCAGCATTGATCTGTGGTTCAAACCGCTCCATTGTGACTGCTGACAAATCCTCAGGTTCTAGACTCCAGACGCCAACTCCTTCTGCTGCCCCCGCTGCCATGGCAGCTCCCAGTGCAGTTGTCTCAGGCATCGAGGGCTTCACTGAGGGGAGAGAGCCACAGCAACATCTTTGCAGTTAAATATGCCTGAAAACTCAGTGTTTCTGAAAGAAGTGTGCTACTCTTGGAGTTTAAAAGAATGAAGGCTTACTAACCTACTGGAATATACAGAATGTCGGCTTGTAGTTGCATAAGAATTTTGTTGCTGGTCATTCCTCCATCTACTTGCAAATGCCTGAATGGAATTCCACAGTCACGGTTCATGGCATCCAAAATCTTAAATAAACCAAACACAATTACATAATTAAACTACTTCGGAGTAACATCTCTGAAAATGGCACTCCTCTACTCAGAAACCTTCAAGAGCTTCCCAAATTTTACAGAATAACATTTAGGCTTCTTATTTTGGTCTTCCCAACTCTCCTTGATCTGGTCACAACCCGTCTTTCCTCTCATTATACCTCTGCACTCATGCAAGTCCAACCATTCAATTTCTGCATCCTGGTTTCCTGCCTCAATGCTTCTATTTTATTTGTGCTATTCCTTTTGTCTAATAGATACCACTTAGTAACCCCCAACTGTAAAATTTCCAGTGCCTGGCATATAACAAGAATTTAGAAGGTAGTGACAGCTGGAAAAAGAAAGAAAAAACCTTGTATTTATTAGATTAGTGTGTAGAGGTAGGCTTCATTTTTGAGTAAGTATTTAATAAATGTCAGGTATAACACATATTTTGCTTAAAAGTGGATTAAATATAAGAAAACAGGCCCATATTTATTACCTCTCGAGTTTGGAAACAAACAGCTTCTAATGCAGCAAAAGCAATATGACATTTATTGGTGAACTGAGTAAGACCACAGATTATCCTAAAAACACAAAAATTTTAACATTAGGATGCTATAAAATAAGTCAGCAATCTAAAATGTCCCAAAGAGACATACACAGAAAAGTTGAATTCAGTGGACAGAAATGCAGAGAGAAAACTGGATATAAGTATTAATTAGTAAAGTCTGTATAGTCTACAAATGAAAACAAAAATTTGTGATCCATCTGAATAGATGCAAATAATATAAAACCAAATCCATATTCATTTAGATGATAACTTTTTTCTACACAACTTGCAGACTCCTTAACATGAATAGGGATATGGCAGGGGGTTATTGTCTGATAATTTATACCTTGGAATTTAAAGGCTCTGCAACTTTACTCTACAACGAGAAAAAATACCTCAACACTTTAAAGTCATCTGAATATAAAGTAGGTAGGAAAGTACACATACTAACTTAATTTAGAAAATTAATCAAGACTCAAACACCAAAACCAAACTCCAAACTCACTGGTGTGGAGTCAGTTCCGACTCCTTGGGTTCCCAAGGCTGTATCTCTATGGAAGTAGATTGTCCAGTCTTCCTTCCAAGGAGCGGCTGGTGGGTTTGAACCACCAGCCTTCTGGTTAGCAGTAAAATGCCTTAGGCACTACATCACCAGAGACCCAAACAAGCATACCATATTTTCAATACTTACCCTCTTGCACTGGGCTCCCAATAAGGTGCATATAACCCTGAAAACGCTGGCACAAAGTAGCAGCCATAAGATGTACCAACTTCTTTAGCAAGTTTTTCTAATATGAGAAGAAAAGAGAAAAACAAATATTAATGTCCTACTTAGTTTATTCAATCAATAGTCATACTTGTTTAAAAAATTAGGACAAGGTTTTTGGTTTCCTCTTCTTTGGCAGAGCAAACACCTCAAATTACAACTATATCCTAGGGGGCAAAAAAACAAGTTTCTCCACATTGAACACTCCCACTAAAATGTAACCTAGCTCAAGAAATAAAGGAACTGGCTTAGTTTCTTTAATTCATTTTAATCATTCTCATACATTTAAAGTTGCTGACTAAGAGATGGCAATTGGCATCTAGTGTGTCTCTGATCAGAAATATTATTTCTTATTGTCCCACCTTCTGATCAAGTAAAACAAGTGGACAAAGGAAGGGGTAGGTGAGTTTGAAATTATTACCCATAGACCGAAAATAGCCAGATTAATATTTAAATTACAGGCACCAGAATTTGAATGCTCACTCTAATCTAGGAATTAAGGTTCTTTCTCATCAGATAAATTTAGCTGGACTACTTTACTTGTAGATTCTGGCAATCTTTGGTGTTCAATTTTACAGTTGAGTAATTTTTATGCCCAACTTTGCCAGTTTATTAATAACCACTAATTATGTCCATTGTTGTTTTATAAGTCTTCACAAAATAGTCCTTCATGTATGTCAAACTCATAATAGGGATCCATATAATTTATGGCACAGATGGGGAACAGCACATGTATTTCTAGATTGCAGAGGTAAAATATTAAAAGGTTTCATTACTCACATTTTCTAACCCTTTGTTAGAATATGCTTACCAATTTCCTCTGAGTTATTTATAATTCCAAGATTGTCTCTGAGCCAGCGAATAACAGCACCAGCTATAGCTACAGAACCCTAAGGAAAAAAAAGAAATCTGAGGTAGAATATATGTTATCACTACAAAAAGTTAAAAAATCAAACAATTTCAACTTCAAGACTTCTAGAAATATAACTAGGTCTTCTAATACAAACAGGTTTACCGGAGTCACTAATAAAAGTTCTTCATGGGACAGGGGCCAGAAGAGAGCCCTCCTGCACACTCCAGGACCCATCCTCATAGGTGGATATCAATCTGTTGAGTAGTTTGTTCCTTGTACACTTGCTCTATTGTTTGCTAAAATTCCTAAAACAAAACCAAACTCACTGCCATCGAGTTGGTCCTGACTCATAGCAATCCCTCCTTGGGTTTCCGAGGAGGTATCTCTACAGAGATAGACTGCCCAACCTTCCTTCCAAGGAGTGGCTTGTGGGTTTGAACCCCCAGCCTTCTGGTTAGCAGTCAGATTCTTTAGGCACTATGCCACCAGAGGTAAAATTACCTAGGAATATTATTGCCTAGAACACATTTCAGTCTTATCCAGAAAGATGTCAGGAGAGGCCATGTTAATTTTTTCAAGTCCAATTACCATATTTAACAGTCTATTATATCAAGTAAAAACAAAAAAAGCAAAGAAGCTATACAAAGTAATTATTCCTTAAAACAACACCTCCAAGATGGGGGTAGGGAAGAAGAAGGCAGCTACGGCAATAAGGAAGAAAACATACAGTTCAGAGTCCGATGAACTATAGGTTTGAGTCCCAGTTTTAGTACTTACTTGCTATGCTATGTGATCTTACACAAATTACCTACACAAACTATGAGGCTAAACATGAGAATATTTATGAAGGTTCTTACTGAAATGTAAATATCAACCTCATTATTTTTTTAAGGGCTGAGTATCAGTCAAGTGTCCATCAACTGATGAATGGATTAAAATGTGGTATGCATACAATGGACATTATTTGGCCATAAAAAAGATTGAACTACTGATGCGTGTTACAACATGGGTAAGCCTTGAGAACATTATGTGAAGTGAAAGAAGCCAGACACAGAAGACCACATACTGTATTATTACATTTATATGAAATGTATAGAATAGGCAAATCCATAGAGGCTGAAAGTAGATTAATGGTTGCCTACAGTTGGCAGAGGGAGCTCTGGTAGCATAGTGCCTAAGGCACTTGCCTGCTAACCAGATGGCTGGTGGTTCAA